AAGGTTTTGGGAACACAAAATTTTTTAAGTTTCAAATTCCACTACACAGATACATATATGTTAAGACAATAAATCCAACATGGTTTTACAGTGAAAATGGCAGGAAATTCATACCAGAATTAGGAAACACCCTGAGAAACCAGAGAAAATATTTCACTGGATTCCCGTTCTCTTTGTGCTCTATGAACGAAAGTCTCTATACATGCTCAGTGCTGAGAGTTAAGTGTGTGTGAAAGCCATCCTTCACCTAGGTTGTCGGGAACACAAGGATATTTTCAGTTGGAATCTTCACTACATACATATATATGGGGAGTTACTGACTCCAGCTCTGTATTACCATGAAAATTGCAGGAACTTAGTACCCGCACTAGGAAACAGACTCAGAAACCCAAGTATGTGGTTCTACGGCAACACTTTCTTTTGTGCTAACTGAGCAAACTACTCTCCACATGCTCAGCTCTGAGATATATCTGTGTGTGAAAGCTGCCCTTTACCAAGCTTGTAGGGAACAAAAAGTTTCTTTTAATTTTCAAAATCCACTACACAAATACATAGATTGTAAGGCAATAATTCATACAAGATTTACAGTGAAAATAGCAGAAAAGACATACATGCACTAGGAAACAAACTGATTAACCAGAGAAATTGTTTCCCTGGAATCCCGTTCCCTTTGTGCTCTATGAATGAATGTCTCTCAACATGCACAGTGCTGAGAGTTAATTGTTGTGAAAGCCATTCTTCACTTTGCTTCTTGGGAACACAAGGTTCTTTTCAGTTCGCGACTTCACTACATGCATATATATGGGGAGTTACTGAATCCAACTCTGTATTAAAGGGAAAAATGCAGAAACTTCTTACTGGCACTAGGAAACAGACTGAGAAACTAGAGTATGTGTTTCTCCTGCAACACTTTCATTTGTGCTAAATGAACAAACTTCTCTCCACATTTCAGGTCTGAGATATATCTGTGTGTGAAAGCCGTACTTTACCTAACTTGTTGGGAACACAAAGATTCTTTTAAATTTCAAAATCCACTACATATATACATATGGAAATGTAGTAACCCCAACACGCTTTTACAGTGTATAATGCTGGAACTTCATACCGGCACTAGGAAACAGACTGAGAAACCAGAGTATGTGTTTCTCCTGCAACACTTACTTTTGGGCTAAATGAACAAATTTCTCTCCACATGCTCAGTTCTGAGATATATCTCTGTGTGTAAGACTTCCTTTACCTAAATTGTTTGGGACACAAAGATTCATTTAAGTTTCAAAATCCACTACATAATTATATATGGAAACATAATAACTCCAACACGATTTACAGTGATAACTGCAGGAACTTCATACCGGCACTAGGAAACCGACTGAGAAACCAGAGAAATTGTTTCCCTGGAATCCCGTTCCTTTCGGCTCCATGAACTAACTTGTCTCCACATGCTCAGTGCTGAGATTTGTGTATGTGAAAGCCGTCCTTCACCTTGATTTTTCGGAACACAATGTTCTTTTCATTAGGAAATTTCACTACATATATATATATATGGGGAAATACTGACTCCAGCTCTGTATTACAGTGAAAATTCCAGGAAATCCTTACCCACACAAGGAGACAGACTCAGAAACCAGAATAGGTGTTTCTGCTGAAACACTTTATTTGTGCTAAATGAACAAACTTCTTTCTACATGCTCAGATCTGAGATATATCTGTGTGTGAAAGCCGTCCTTTTCATAGCTTTTTGGGAAAATATAGTATCTGTTAAGTTTAAAATTCCACTACATATAAATATATGGAAAGGTAATAACTCCAACATGGTTTAACAGTTTAAACTGGAGAAACTTCATACTGGCACTTGGAAACAGACTGAGTAACCAGAGATATTGGCTCTCTGGTATCCCCTTCCCTTTGAGCTCTATGAACGAACATCTCTCAACATGCTCACTGCTGAGAATAAGTGTGTGAGAAAGCCGTCCTTCACCTAGCTTGTTGCAAACACAAGGTTCTTTTCAGTTGGAAACTTCACTGCATACATATATATGTGGAGTTACTGACTCCAATTGTGTATTACACTGATTACTGCAGGAAATTCATACCGGAACAAGGTAACAAACTGAGAACCCAGAGTATGTGTTTCTTCTGTAAAAGTTAATTTTGTTCTAAATGAAAATACTTATCTCCACATGCTCAGTTATGAGATATATCTGTTTTTGAAGCCATCCTTTACATAGCTTG